AGGCCTCGCCTGAAACATGGAGACAAAGGAGGGGAAGAAGCGGGCATTTCCCCCACTCTTTCTGGGCTCTAGCATTTGTGTTTGTTCCTCAAGACTGGCTCCTCTAGGATCTCGGCACCACCGTGCCCACTGCTGCATCTGGGGCTGCGTTGCGTTCCGGCTGGGAGAGCCAGAGGAACACAAAGCCGGCACACTCACCACCTTGGGGGTGCTTGGAATTCTGGGGTTCTCCCCAACCTGCTTGGTGCTACTTACTTCTTCGTGTCGTCCAGTGGTGGTGCCATACATTCTGTCCGGGCTTCGCAGCCGTGTTCAGCGAGAAGGAAAAGGAAGGCGTGTGTTAACTCCACGTAACCCGGAACAACAAACCTTCCCCGCGATATTGAGAGAAAGGTCTAGAAGGCGTATGGCACTATCGCGTATCTGTGCACCGAAGAAAGGGTCTGTGTGGCTCCACAGGTAAGTGCCTAGGGAAGAAGGTCTTCAAGCTTACCTACGCAACCTGACCCGGGTTTCCTCGAAGAAGGAATTTCGGCGCAGGAGTGGTATCGAAAGAACTTCCACCTTTTACTCCATACCTCTTTTTGAATGATTCTAAGCATGCACGCATTATTGCTTTTGTAATTTTCAAAATGGGAAGACGTGAGCGAAAAGACGACAAAACACTTATCGTTCAACTCAAAGCGGATATCCAGAAAGCATCTTTTCCTGGGTGTAGTGTATCTTGGTAACATTTGTCTGAGGGAAAAAAAACCCATTCAGGAGTCAATGTGATCATGCATCGTACACACAGCCATTGATCTACTACTCAGAAGTATTTCCCACAGAAGTTTCAGCCCATAATCCTAAATTTATTCACATTTTTCCAAGTAACTGCAATATTAAATAGAAGCTAAAAGCAAATACATAGTTCTTCGAAAAGACAACCCAGAATTCTCATTGCCTGAGCTTTGGGATTGTAAGTAGGCCTTATATTCCTTCAGAATGTTAAAGGGAAGGCACTACTCAAAATAACCATAAAACAACATGGCGGGAGGGGGGCAGGGGGTTGGGACTGTTCTTAAGTACAGTTTTGCAAATTGTGAAAGAAATCTCAAGAGAGGCTTCCAATGTCTTCATGCAGGTGTCCTGACTTTCAAAATGGAAATAAGTGTTAAAGAAGCAATTTATTTCCCTTTTACGCTACTAGGCTTGAAGGGAGCAAATCTGGGCCAATAATCTCGACATAGCTCCTTGCCTAGAATTTGGGATTAAGTGTGTTCTTACACTGTATTACTCCCTATTCACTCTGCTGTCCAAAAACTCCATTTCAAAAGCATTTGAAATGATCAGGTCACATTTTTAGTATTGCTTTTTAACCAACTGAGCCACCCAGGCGCCCCAGTATTGCTTTTTAAATGTTAACTTATCACCAAGCTATATAGCAGGGGCCTTATGAGTCAGGCATTAGCATTTTAGTATCAAACCAAACACAGAATCAAGATAAAGAAACATTAGCACCATTTTGTATCTAATCCAGTGTAAAACTATTTTTTACTCAGAAAAGTTGTTTTCACTTCTAACATATGCTTCGCCTCTCTCCCTCCTTGCCAATAATACTTTTGAACATTTTAAATACCAAGTACGATAACATTCCATTTTTAAAGTTTATGCTCAGTACAGCATTTCAAGTCAAAGGAGGAAGGTTATCACTAGAATTTTTTTTTTTTTAACTCTGCCAATTGCACAAAATTCTGTTTGGGGAGGAGAGTTTTTTTTTTTTTGGGGGGGGGTGACGTCTACGGGCTCACAGACACCATTCTTCCGTGCAGTTTACAGAGTTTGAGTGACCTCACACACACACCTTTCAAGTTATTGGCAATTTTTATTTAATGAAACAATGACAAAGGTATTACATATGAAGTACCATAAATAGGTACCTACTACATCATGAGCAATTCAGAGAATCTATACCCTATTATACCTTTAGTAAACTTTTAAAAAATGTATATATGTACTTAGAAATGTTACCGTGGTGGAGTTTATATATATATAGGAGTATATGTATGTGTGTGTGTGTGTGTGTGTGTGTATACATACGTATATATATATATATATAAAACCCAGAGGTACTAAGTATTTTGATACCTCCTAAATAAGAGCAGCCTTTTAGTTTAAAATGAAAGAATAGGGGCGCCTGGGTGTTCGGTCGGTTAAGCGTCCGACTCTTTGAGTTTGGCTCAGGTCATGATCTCGTGGTTCACGAGTTCGAGCCCCGCATCGGGCTCTGTGCTGGCAGTGCGGCGCCTGCTTGGGATTCTGTCTCCCTCTCTCTCTGTCCGTCCCCTGCTTGCTCTGTCTCTCAAAATAAATAAAGATACACTTAAAAAAGTATTTCAAAATATTTTTTCAAAAAAAGAAATAGATTTCTATTCACTTGTCATTTGCCTTGGTCCAGCAGAGTTGCTAGATGTTACTTAGTATCCGATTGCTGCTCTTAATAAAAGTAACACAGAAACCATGTTTATGGCAAACTTTTAATTTTAAAACCAAAATTTAAAAAAGAGAATCTTAGGCAGCAATTATTTTATTCCATATTCTCACTGGATTTTCCGTTTCAGACTTTTCAACATGAAAGGTAATTTTAAACTAGCCTGCTGTCTTCCACGCTGTCCCAAGAATTAGGAACACGATTTATAAGAATTAGGAACATGAGTTTCTAGAACGAAGGGAACAGTCGGACCATCAAATTGTTACCGCTTAAAAAACTTCATGGGCTCCAAAGGTGATTTTCCCCCCTAAAAAGACACCCTCACCAACTAATGACTTGGATACGGGAAGGGGACTCACAGTTAATTCAGGCTGATGTACTCATTGTTCATGCACACGAAAAGTACTTTAAAAATCCTGTCCATTGGTCTTCTACTTAAAAAGGGGGTAAAACTGGCCAATATTGCCTTCTAGGTTTTGTCTCCATCTGGAGTTGCCAGTAGGAAGCACATTAAATACGAGTCTGTTCCCTAAAGGGGAGGGAGTCCGGCGTGGTAAAGCCGAGAGGAAGCTGGGTTTCTAAGGCAGCCCGTCAGTGGGGACCCTGACCTACACCCAAGGCCATCTTCCCGGAGATTGTCAGGTGCAACAGGAACGCTTGAGCTGGATGCCTAAACACAAAGGAGCACGAAGGGCTTTGGAAGGAACAGTTTTCACAGTCAGCTGCACCATCACAATGCCACGTTAATTTGATCGTTAGGTACCTGCAGTGTTTAAGGACTTTAATAACGACAGTAACGTTCACCAGGATTATTAGCAGGGTTGTTTTGGACCGACATATAGAACTTCCTGTTAAATACCCATCTCAATGATTAGGAGAGCTCTCTGTGTAAAAGGATTCACCTCAGAACGATGCAAGTATTTAAAAAGTCTTTTTTCTTTTTTTTAAAGCTCACGATTCTTGAGTTTTCAAAGCTTATACAGTTGTAAGAGGACATCGTGTGAAGATTTTATGTGGAATACAACATATTTGTGTTCTAAACATTGACTATGGGGGGCTTGGTTGGCTCAATTGGTAGAGCATACTCTTGGTCTCAGGGTCATGAGTTCTAGCCCCACACTGGGCCTGGAGCCTACTTAAAAAAAAAAAAAAAAGAGTAAAAATTGACAACACTTCAAAGATCCAGAGTAAAAACAGCAAGGAAATGTTCAACCTCACACCTAATAGCAAATTTTATTCACCCATCTACAGGCGCTAGCCTGGCCCGGGCAAGGACCTTTTTTCCCTCTTCCAGAGAATTCGGCACTCTTCCTTCCTGTAGATTCCTGTATCAGCTGGATGGAAACCAGCATTCCTTAAAACCATTTTGTTCTACCCCAAAGGAAATGTACCAGGGAAGGAGCGCTTTATTTACATGCTCAACATCCTAGACAAACACCACCATCGTCTCATTCCACTGGCTAGGAATCCGGGAGAAATGCATTTCAGCGGAAGTCTGAACAACGTACATCGTCAAGGCTTTGTTACGAATGAGTTCTGTAGAGGAAAAAGTGGAGAAAGTAGGGGTAAGCCACATCTCTAACTGGTATCTGGATGTCATCCCCCACCTCCCCTTGTCCGCTCGCGGCGCAAGACCACCTCAACATCGCTAAGTGAAATTTCACACGGGAAGTTCTAAACGTCACGGCCAACCATTAAAGAAGAGGCAAGAGTCCACAGCGCGTATACGCCAAAAGGCTGGACCGCAGCAAGGAGCTGCTTCTCCCGTTACGTGTTAAGAAAGTTGCAATAATAAAAAGAAAAGTTTCACGAAAGAAGTTCAGTACTCCTCTCAACACACCGCACTGGCACTTTACGTACGGGACTGCATTCGATCTATTAAAATCTGTATGAGATAGAAAGTGCCCAGATGACAATTTAAAGAGAAAAGAGGACCCTCACCCGGCCCAGATAATTCTTAAATATCACGGTCTGTGTAAAGTGGTGCCATAATTGAAAGACGAATAAGTTTACTTTTTCAGGAACCGCGGGGGTTCTGGCGTCACTATACAAGGAATCGATGTTAGTGTCGAAACTCCCTTTCGATGAGCCGTTCTTTCACGAAGAAAACCACGCGTAAGGAAAAGGAGTCTTAAGCTACAGGTCGGAATGATCTTCCTCACTATGGAATCTGGAAAGTTACTCAGGACAGGATGAAAACAGGCTCCGGCTACACTGACAGAGAAGACTGAATGTTAAGCATCAATAGCCATTTAAAGGCATTCGGTGGCGGTATCTGAAAAGATTAAGATGCTTTAAAACAAAAACCCTTATAAGAATATCAAATATTAGGGACTGGGCTTCATAAATAACCAAATATCTATGGCTTCAACTGTCGCCCTACTGCTGAGGTAGGTGACCAGGGTTCACTGAAATAGAGCAATCTTTTGGACATTCCCTACGGAAAACCTTGCATAATCAGCTGGTTTCTTAAATCTATGTCTGTTTTCTTTTGTTTTGTTTCTTCTTTCTTTTCATTTACACTCTTTTGAAGAGGCTGTCCAAGCGACTGTTTCGGCCTTTAAGCTCTCGCCGAATAGCATCTCATGTACTCTGTCATCCATGGGTTCTCCGAGGAGGAAGGCTTTATCTTTCGGTTTTTCTCCACGTCTACAGAGTGAGCGCGCTGCCTCTGAGTGACCAGTTTCCTTCTTTCCACCTGTCTTCTGTTCTTGGCTCGTAATGCTGATTCGTGAATCTAAATTACTCAAAAATAAAAAAATTATTGTTACTTCTAAAACAAAAGTATAATAACTTACGTGGCTTTTATACTCATTTTCAAGAATATTTGCGATGAATATTTACTACCCCCAAGACCTTTTTTCCCTCTTCCAGAGAATTCGGCACTCTTCCTTCCTCTAGATTCCTGTATCAGCTGGATGGAAACCAGGGCAGAGGCCAGCCCGGCTTCATCATATCCCTTTCTCCTAGGTATAACAGCTCCTCCCGAAAAGCCATCCCCTTGCCCCTGGTCAGTGACCAAGACGCTAAACAATAAAAAACGGACATTAAATTTTAGGTATAAATGGTAAGCAACTAATTTGCATGTGTCTCTAGAAACTGGCTCTGGAAAATTATTGAAGATGCTTAGCAGTAAGCCTGGATACGTATTCCATTAAAGGACTTTTACCACTTAAGACGTTTCATGCTACAGATGAACTCTGTTGAACTTAATCCCATGCAATAGCCAGAGTCTTTTGTTAAACCACAGCTCCATTGTCTCAAATATCACTCCAAATGACACCACCTGCTAGGGTTCGTTGAGAAGTCTCTTCAGTAAAAATCTGATCATGGTAATTCATCAGAATTCAAATTCCTTGTATTTTCTGCTTCTTTTCATTCGTTCTTTGCTTTAGGCCGACTTAGTCATGTCAGTGCTAACATATGTAATTGCTTTATGGCTGCACACACGAAGACCTCTGGTCAGACGTGTTCTCGGGACTGAGAGGGCAACTGGGGGCACCTCGGTGGCTCAGTCGGTTAAGAGTCTGACTTCGGCTCAGGTCATGAGCTCACGGTTCGTGGGTTCAAGCCCCGGGTCGGGCTCTGTGCCGACAGCTGAGCCTGGAGCCTGCTTCGGATTCTGAGTTTCCCTCTCTCTCTCCCCAGCTTGTGCTCTCTCTCAAAAATTAGTAAATAAACATGGAAAAAAAAAAAAAAGAGGACAACTAAGGCTCCAATGAGTAAAAGGCACTGGCTGTGGATGAGCAGGGGAAAACACAATCATCCGAATTGAACTCAAAGAGCCAAAGGGAATCTACAGTAGGTGCCAAGAACCACAGAATCAATCTAACAAAAGATAACAAGGGAGTCGAGGAATACCAGTTATCAAAGCCACAGGAACCAGAAACCTGTCAAGAGGCCCACGGCACATCTACACGGGCAGCCACCAGCCCCGCTGGGCTCCTCCTCTGCACCTGCGCCCCCCCCACCCCCCCGGAACTTGAAAACCCTGACTCCAGCCACTTCTCCTGGTTCCATGTTGGTAAATCTTCCAAATCCCAGCTAATTCCCAGCAACACCCCTCGATCTCCAGGGAGCTGACACCCTCAATCTGTTTGCCAAATTCCAGGACTTGGACTCCTAAGATCTACCATGACCCCAAAGCACCGTGGTGAACACAGAATAGGACACCCGATGACAGGAACACAGCCCAACCCCCAGCCTCCAAGGAAAAGCAGTGACGGCCAGGTGCCCACGAACCCACCTCATGCACGGGGGCAGACGCGCAGACGTTGTGAGTTTTTTGGCTTCCGGTATCGGTCTGTTTTTCTCCCCACCCATAAAGAGCAAACGGATGCTTCTTCTCCTTTATTTTAGTTGATGATCTTTGAGGACTTTTGGCTGCTTTCCTATTTCCTCTAGCAAATAAGGCACTTGGTTGCTGTCGAGGTTCAGTACTGCTGGGTAACTTGTCAGTCTCTTTTGCTCTGGCCTGTTGTTCAGGTTTTTCTTTTATGTCTTTCACTGGCAGTGCTTTTGAAGAAAAAAAAAAAGGAGATAAAACAAGTCGAGAATGCTTTAAAATCACGTTTCTATATAATCACTTCAAATAGCTGGGTTGTGAAATTCATAACGCTTCATGCCGTAACGGCTCAATTCACGAGTCCAAGTAAGGAAGAAATACAAAACCAAGTCAGGGTTATACCTTTCAAATGGTCTGGCCCATTTTAAAATCAACAGCAAATCCACCAAGGCTGGACCAAACCTATTCGAAAGCCACAACTCTCACTCACAGTCCGATATCAAGCATCCCAATTAAATATTAAAACCTAAAAAGCACCACAGCCTCATGGCTTTCTCCACAACCCCAAGGGAAGTCCAATCATCAAGGCCTCACTTCAGAAACAGATCGGGATTTGCGGTAATCTCTCAGCAGATGTAAAAGGTTAGGTGTGAAGTCACTCAACTCAAGTTCCGGGATCCCGTTTCTTTCTGGTGCACCATGATTACGGAAACCTCCCTACGGCTCTTAACGTGCTCAATTTCATTTCTTTTTGGGGTGCCACGAATATGGAGAGCTCCCTGTGGCTCTTAACATGCTGTAAGAAAGAGCAAGCTGCCCACCTTAGTTTGAACGGTCCTCAGTCACAGTCGGGAGCGGTTTCCATAGTTACTCACTATGGATTCCCAGCATGAAGAGCTGGAGGTGTGGGGAGGGCACCTTTTGGGATGAGCACTGGGTGTTGTATGGAAACCAATTTGACAATAAACTTCATACATTGAAAAAATAAATAAATAAATAAATACATAAATAAATAAATAAAATAAAAATAAATAAAAAAATAAGAGGGCTTCCCCAACACTTGCGATAGAAATGACTGCACGAATCAGGGCCCAGGGTCTACACAGCCCTAAAGCCTGCCAGCAGCGCTGGAGCAATCCTGAAGGAAAATGGGACTGCCCTTTCTGAGGTGAACGTCAGACATGAAGGATGTGCTCTAAAACATACCTACTTCCCTTAACAACATTTTATCATTTGGCCGCTCATTACTTTTTATAGACCCTTTATTTGTTGTAAAAGTTATGTGATGTTGTTTCAACGCTTCGTGATCCCATGTTTCGTTTCGGCCCGAATTTCCATTTTTTTTGTTTGGTTGTTTTTACTGACGTAAGATCGGCATACAACATCATATGACCTTTGGGTGCACAACACTGTCATTTGGTATCTGTAGACACTACAGACTGATCAGCACGGTAAGTCTAGTTACCACCCGTCACCATGCAGTTGAGTCCCCTCGGCCACGCAGCCTTCCCCCAACTCCCTTCCCCTCTGGTAACCGCCAACTTGTTCTCTGGATCTAGGAGTTTGCTTTTGTTTTGTTCCTTTGTCTTGTTTTCTAGGTGAGATCGCATGGCATCTGTCTTTCTCCGTCTGACTTCTTTCACTTGGTCTGAAACCTGCTAGACCCACCCGTGGTGTTCCAAAGGGAAGATTTCCTTCTTCTTTTTGTGGCTGGGTAATGAACACTCCATTGTGTGTATATATGCCTTATCTTCTTTACCCACTCGTCAACGTCAACCGGTGGACACTTAGGGTTGTTCCTCTATCTTGACTATTGTAACTCATGCTAGAATAAACATGGGGGTGCCTATATTGTTTCGAATTAGTGTTTCTGTATTCCTCAGCTTAATACCCAGAAGGGAAATGGTTGGATAGTATGGTTAGTTCTCCTCTTACCTTTTGCGGAATCTCCCTCCATATTGTCTGCCATAGTGGCTGTACCAACTTACATCCCCACCAAGTACAGGAGGGTTCCCTTTCCTCCACATCCTCACACCACCTGTCATCTCTTGCCTTTTTGGGAATGGCAATTCTAACAGGTGTGAGGAGATAGCTGATTGTGGTTTTGATTTGCGCTGCCCTGCTAATGACTGATGTTTAACATCTTGTCACATGCCTACCGGCCACCTGTGCATCTTCCCTGGAAGAATGTCTATTCACACCCCGTGCACATGTTTTCACTTGGGTTGTTTGGTGCTTTGTTGTTGAGTTGTGTGAGTTCTTGATGTATTTTGGATATTTAACCCCTTAGGCAAATATCTTCTCCCATTCAATGGGCTGCCTTTTTATTCTGTTGATGCTTTCCCTTGCTGCTCGGTTTTTCAGCTTGTTGTAGTCCCATTTATTTTTGCTTTTGTTTCCTTCGCCTTTGGAATCAGATCCGGAAAAAAAAAAACATTGCTAAGACCAATTGCCAAGGAGCTCACTGCCCATGTTTTCTTCTAAGAATTTTATGGTTTCAGGTCTTACATTCGAGTCTTTAATCCACTTGAGTTAATTTGTGTGTATGATGCAACAGAGTGATTTAATTTCAGTCTTTTGAATAATGGCTCCTTATGCATCTACAAGTCCATTTCACTTACCCGAGCTGTTTAGGTCTTAAGGATACCCCTCACTTCAAATGCTCCAGAATTTGGCTCTAGGTGATGACTTTACAGATTGCTATTCTAAAACCTCATCACCTCTTTAGGACACATTCTTGTCCCTTCCTATTTCTGGTTGTGACTCTTTTCTTGCTTCTGCCTACATTCCCTTTATTTATTTATATTTATTTATTTATTTGTTTATTTATTTATTTATTTATGCCCACATTCCCTTTATTTATTTATTTATTTATTTATTTATTTATTTATTGCCCACATTCCCTTTAGAGTAAGCCCCAGTCAAGATACTGGGGCACAAGTGTGAAGTCTTGATAGATTGTTGTCTGTCATTTCTATCTTCAGCAATGACCTTGACTCTACCAAAGTTCCCTTCCTTCTCTTCCTCTCCTGGTCTGTATGTGTCTAACCCAGGTCTTCCAGAGAAGCCTGCCCAGCGAAGGGAATAATGATTTAGGTTAAAGGACAAACTAGTCAGGAAGAAAAGAGAAAAAGAGAGTCCCAACAAGAGGGAATGTCTTGTTCAAAGGCCCGGAAAGAAAAGGGAATATAAAGAGTTCAAAATGACAGGTCTGGAGAGAGTCTGTGGACGAAGGCATGGAGCGGGTGGCAAAGGAGGAGACTTTCCACACCAAATTCAGGAGTTTCATTTTATCCTGAAAATGATGAAGAATCACTAAAGGATTGTAAGCTGAAAAAGCGACATGGCCCTATTTGCATTTTAGGGATATGGCCTCCAGCTACCAACGTGAAGGATGAGTGAGAGAGGCGAGGACAGAAAGGCCAGCTAGCAAACAACGGCAGAGTCTGGGGGTGAGGTGGGAAGTGGGGGCAAGTGGGGCCCAGGAGTCATGGTAGGGGTGGAGAGGGGAGAAAAAGGACCAGAAGGGGGCCCACCGAGCCTGGCAGGTGCTCAGACTCACTGGGCACCTGTGAACCACACACTGATCAGAACAGCGAGCCTCTCCAGAGCAGGTACCGAGGTATCGAGGCCTCTCCAGAGCAGACGACCCAGCAACACTGCGACAGACCGGTGAAGACGACAGACACCCCGCGGCCCTGGGAGCAAAGAGGAGTCCACAGCTCCCACAGATGTTTAGTGGGGATGGTCCTGCTATCCTCTGACAGAGGTCCACCCAAGGATAAAGACAGGATACTTGCGGCGTCGGATGGGAGATACTTCTGGAACAACTCAGCAGGCCCATGAAGCCAGGAGACAAGGTAGTGAGCCAGCAGGTGGGAGCTGAGGTCTGGACGTGGAACAGATCATCCAGGAAGCAACGCGGAGTCAGAGGAGGGGACAGTGAGTCAGGCCCCTAGGGCCACCATTATTTAAGGAGCAGCCAGGCTGAAGAAGAAGAGACTAAGAGGGAGAAAGAATTGCTAGAAAAGGAGAAAAACTCACCAGGAGAGAAACTACGGGAAAAGCGTTGGTAAAGGAGGCAGCCGTGAACAGTGTTCAACACCGCAGGGGGGAGGGGGTCCGTCAGACGAGGGGGAACAGACTCGGCATTGGGCAAGCAGACTGCCTACTGCTGACAGAGGGGGACGCGGGGTCGGGGCACCAGGTCACGGTGGGCTGCGTACCGGACAGAGTGGAGGCCTAGTTCTGCTAACCGTGAGCTACCGGACCAGCCCTCCCCCCCACAGATAAACAAAGACTGATGTTAAAAATCCCGAGGGTCCACAGGCGCCCGGTACAAAGAAGTAAACTCTTCTCTAGAGACCCTGGGCCAAGTTATCCCTACAAATAATTTTGCAAACGCGCTTATGAATGTACTGCAAAAGATGGGCGGCCTCATAAGGACAGAAGACAAGAAGGAAGGGCCAGCGGGAGCAATTTTCCATTTACAGGCTATCAAATCGTTGCGTTTACCCTCCGTAACACTTAAAAGAAAGAGACCAATCCAAGTACGTCTGCAGCAGCAGGAGACAAAGACGGAAAATGCAGAAGAGACAGAACCTATCAGCCCAATATTAATATTTATGAAACTCTTGCCTGCTGTCAGGTGAGTGCATGTGACCATACGGGTCAAGATCTTACCTGGAGGGCTGAAGTTTAAACCAAAGACCTTCTCAGAGGAACAAAAAACAGCGGTCATCGCCATTGTGGGAGAGGATTAGAATGCCCCTTTCTCAGGAGCTGATAGGACAGTCAAACAAAAATAAATTCAGTCTTGGTGTAGGGCTGTGCTAGCCAATACGCGTGGCTATCAACTATAAGTGTAAAGGAAAATTAAATAAAAGTAAAGATTCGATTCCTCAGTTAAGCCGATCAGAGTTTAAGTGCTCAATAACCCCACGTGGCTAGGAACTACCATGCCGGATGATACAAAGAGAGAACACGTCCATCGGGCCGCTCAGTTTTATTGGAGGGTCTGTTTTGAAGAATCTGGACAACAGAATTAACACATTTGACCGAATGGCTATACATACAACCCTGCATCCCATAACTACAGAATATATAATGTGGTGAAATGGAACGTTTACAAGAATTTACGCATCTGAGTCTCTAAAGCAAATCTTTTTTTTTTTTTAATTTTTTTTAACGTTTATTTATTTTGGAGACAGAGAGAGACAGAGCATGAACAGGGGAGGGTCAGAGAGAGGGGGAGACACAGAATCCGAAAGAGGCTCTAGGCTCTGAGCTAGTCAGCACAGAGCCCGACGCGGGGCTCAAACTCACAGACCACGAGATCATGACCTGAGCCGAAGTCAGCCGCTTAACCGACTGAGCCACCCAGGCGCCCCTCTAAAGCAAATCTTAATACGTTTACAAAATTGAAATCAAACAGAATGTACCCTCTATATAGTGGATAATTATGGTGTAATTATAGTGTAAATCACCTTGATAAAACAACAAAAATAAGTAACTTTTTTTTTTAACTTTTTAAATGTTTTATTTATTTTTAAGACAGAGACAGACACAGCATGAGTGGGGATGGGGCAGAGAGAGAGGGAGACACAGATCAGAAGCAGCTCCAGGCTCCGAGCTGACAGCACAGAGCCCGATGTGGGGCCTGAACTCACGAACCGTGAGATCATGACCTGAGCCGAAGTCGGACACTCAACCGACTGAGCCACCCGGGCGCCCCAAAAATAAGTAACTTTTTAAAATCTCCAGTTTTGAAATTTAAAAACATTTCTAAATAACGCACGGATCAAAAATAAATCATATGGTTGCACAAAGATGGGAATGCACTCAATGCCACACTTACCAATGGTTAAATGGCAGAGCGTGTTATGCAGATTTTACCATAATTTTTAACAATTAAAAAAACGTGGTGATGGAAGGCATTCCTTCCTTAATCCTGACCTTATTAGAAATGCTTCTGAAGTTTCTTCATTAAGTGTAACATTTGTAGTATGCTTTTAGTCCTTTTTTTTTTTTAAAGAAAAATACATTTCCTTATGTTTGTATTATATACATAAATGTTAAGGTTTATTAATTTTTTCATGTATTTTAAGAATCATAATGATTTTGCTTAAGTAAATAAAATACTATATAACAAAACTCGGGTCTTTCTCCTGCAGGGAGTTAAGATTCATCCTACTCAACTGACAGTATAGCTAAAGCAGTAACTGTGGGGAAATTTACAACCTGAAATCAACATATCCAAAAAGAAAGGCAGGCAAAAAAAAAAAACAATAAAAAAACCAATTCTAAGCACCCATCTTACAAAGCATAAGGGAAGAAAAGATCATGGATCAATAAAGACATATTAATAAAGAAAATCCACAGACTCTAGAATTAGTTCGGGGGGAAAAAAAAACTAATAAAATTCACAAGTCTCTGGCAAGACTGATCAAGAAGGAAGTGAAAAATAAACCTAAGTGGGCGACTGTGTGGTTCAGTCAGTTAAGCGGTTAAGCGTCCAACTTTGGCTCAGGCCATGATCTCGCAGCTTGTGAGTTCGAGCCCCACGTTGGGCTCTGTGCTCACAGCTTAGAGCCTGAAGCCTGCTTCAGATTCTGTTTCCCTCTCTCTCTGACCCTCCCCCACTTGTTCTCTGTCTCTCTGTCTCTCTCAAAAATAAAGATTAAAAAATAATTATTTTAGTAAATCTAAGTAAAAATACAGCAAATGGAATTTAGGCTTAATACGCACTGATGACATGTGCATATAGTCCCTTCCTCCCAAAAGCCCACTAAAGTGAAGGAAAAAACGCATAACCCATAGGACAAAAAGCAAGGGAGACAATGACACCAGGCAGCACGTGTCCATACAATTCTGGAAACTGGAACATAGATGAGGACGTAGAAGTGACCTTGAGAACTAAGTAGGACGAATCCTAACTCCCTGCGGGAGAAAGTCCCACAGGACACGCAC